ATGCTCATTTCCATCCCTCCTGCACAGACCCAGGTCTTACACCAATACCTGCTCTGAAGCTGGGCCACGGGGGGCTGCAAGGACAGAAGATGTATTAATACCATTGCTAAAGCTGAAGTGGCCCATAGATGTAACCTGGCTGGTAAACACAAACATGCTTTCAGGTGCAGACATTTCATTTGCTGAAAGGGGAGGCTGTGGGGGGAAGCAATGCAAGGGAATGGTGGGGAAGTATCACCATGCTCCTCTGACAGGGCATCCAATGACAGTAATAGCTAAAACGCCACTTTTTGCAGACTGAGGCCACTGAGACCATTGCAGATTGGTTTTAAGTCTCCTTTAATGAACACGTGAAGGCACGTATGTAACAGCCTTCAAAGCCAGTTTCGTTTGTATTTAAATACATTTAAATGGTAACAGTTCATCTCCTCCACATGGGTAGGAACAGGACTAGTGCAGGTAGTGGATATCAGCCCAGCCTGAGGTAGAATCCAGGGACATGAAAGCACCATCTTCACACAGGATGCCTCAGAGGATATGAACCAGGCTGTCCCAGCAAGGAAGCACCAGGGTAAGAACCCCACGGGCCCCAAATCTGGGCTCTCCCCAGCAGGACTTGCTGCACAGAGCAGAATCCCCCTCCCCACCCCCGTCTTCTCAGGAGTGATAGAAAACACCCCAGTGCTGCCTTAGTAGGTTTTTGAATAGGCACCTGTATGCAAAAACCTGATTTTAAAGCAAGTTCTCGGAGATACTGATTTCAAACTAGCTTCTTATCATGCTTATGCAAAAAGAAAGCCCTGACAGACTCATCCCAAAACCTGTAGGTGCTTCAGGCTGTTCATGCTGGAAACCCTGGGACCAAGGACCTTTGGCAGCTGCTGAATTGCGGCCACTTGTCCTGAGATCCCGCACCGATCTCTTCCCTATTTATTTTCATCCCTTTTCCTTGATTTCCAAGGCTTTTCCCAGAGCTGTCCTCATTTATGCAATGTGTGTCTCTCAGGCTGGTGGATTATTGACTTTGCCCTCTACATGCCCTTGAAGCTGAGGGAGGTGAGTGCTACAGGCAGATGGGCTCTTCCTCATGCTTTGCTGTCATTCGTCCCAATTCTCAGGCTGAGCTGCGACGGCAAAGAACAACTTGTTAAGGAATTGCTTCTTTCCTTCCAGGTTCAATTGCTCTCAGTCTCAGGCTGCTCGTGTTGATCGACTGCACCTCCTCAAAGTGTTGTGTAAAAGGCACTTAGTGAAGTTCATTCTGGGCATTCTTCAGTGGTTTTTACTTCCAAAGCACATGGATACAGGCAGGTGAAGTTTTGTCTTTCAGAGGGTCGTGGAATTTGCATTTTGTAACAGTTCTGCTTTTCATAAAGGCACAATAATGAAAAATTATGAGTTTCCCCACAAAAGTTGTGTTTTTCAATCTGGGTGGGTTGGAACATTTGTAATTCTGGTTTGGTTTTGGGAGGCTGGTCAAGTTTAATAAATAGAAAGGGATTTCACAATGAAAAGAGAAACAATAGCATAAGCCTGAACAAACACTGGTTTAAATGATGCTGTGGAGCAATTTAACTTTTAGTTGAACTCCTTTTATTCCAACCCCTCCAAAATAGTGCAAAAAAAATCACTGTTTCCACACAAAGTGCTTGTTTCAAGATTACAAGCCCATGAGATGCTAAAGCAGAAACCGTGTTATGACAATCTCTATTCCATACATTCACTCTGCTACCTCATTAAATTACAGAAACCACCTACAAAAGAGCATTTCCCAAAGGACAAACACTCTTCCAGGAAAGTTTCAACCTGTTCCTGTCAAGTAGCAGTTGGGCCAGAGAAACCAGCTGCTATTTCTTGTTTTGTTGGGTTTTAAGTGACACTGGAAGCCTGTGCTGGTACTTGGGGAGGCCGAGGGAGCAGCCAGGCTGCTGCAGCCAGGCAGATGCAGGCAGGCATCGATGCAAATGCCTTAATGCCTGTGAGTGAGGCCACAGATGTAATCATGCTGATGAGGGCTTGCTCCCCTCAGAGCCCTCCTTGCAAGCCACATCTTGGTGATGATGCCAGCACATGGGGCATCACAGTGGCCTGATGTGAGACTGATGCAAGACTGTCAAATTAAGCACGTAGTGAAATCAGGGCACCTTCCCATTACAGATGAAATTAAATAGTTGGGGTGCAGCAGCCTTTTGGAGCTTCATCTCCATCTGGCTTTATGACCTGGGTACAACAAATGCTTTGATACGTGGAACATGGTTAGCTATTTACATGAGAGATGAATGCAGACCTGCACAGATGTCTGGTGGCTGTTCTTTTATTCATCTAAATGATGAATACCAAAACTACCTGTTCACAGGGAGCACTTTCAAATAACAATGTATGCCAACATGCTTGGGAACATGAGAATGTGGTGGTTTAAGCCGCTGTTACAGCTGAACACAGGACAGAGAACAATGAGAGTTTTCCTTTGGAAGTTTGCTTCCTGTAATGAAGGCAAATAGGTATGTGTTTCTGAACTACAGTGTGTTCCCCATTTATAGTAATGGGGAAAGCTGTTTTGAGTCTTCCAAAACCAAATCTACTTTTTCTCTGCTGGGTAAAGGGTGAAAATGTACTTGTTCACACAGCCTTTCCCTCCTAGACTCATAAAGCACAACGTACGGAAGAGGGGTACTGCCAGGGCAATGGCCTCCTCCTTTCAGCATTACCCCATCTCTTCTCTTAAAGTTGCTTTTCCTATTCAACAAACACTCTCTTTTTAAACAATACTGCCTTAAACCCTTATTATAACGCCCAGAGCCACTTGCAGGCTTTCTGAAACTCATTATTATAATTACAATCAAGAAGCGCAGAACTCTGTGCTTTGTGCCACAAATACACATACACTGAATTGTACAGAGGGAAAGA